TTTCTTTTCGAACATATCATACACCGTTGGACAGAGGACTTCAAGGTCAACAGTATATGTGTCTTGATTTTTTTGACACGTTTTTGCGGTCGAAAAATTAAAAAGGCTCGAAATTTGTAAAAACGGACAATTTTTCGTCTTTTTTTTGAATTCAACTGCAACAACAGAATTTTTTGCTAGAGCCAATATTTTTTTTCCTGGCTAGGTCCGCTAGATGCTCAGCTTTAAAGCTATAAAAGCTTTTGCAAAAATTCCTTTTGTTCGCTGAGAAAAACCATTTTTTCTAAATCAGAGGTGAAAGAGTCGGAATTGTGCCCGCAATTCCCACTTTTTTCGATCAGAATTCAACTGCTGAGCGATAAAAATATCATATTCGAAATTAGGATCAAAAACTAAGTCGACTGATGTGTATTTCTATCCTATCCATCTACTTTAATGTTCTTCGAATTTTCACGTTGAAAAATTACCGAGATTTTCACCCAAAACTGAAAATCAACTAAAAGTTTCGACATACACATCATTTAGTTTTTGATCCTGATTCCAAATATGATATTTACAAAGCTTTTTGGCTACTTTTTTGCGGTTTTCTGGCTAGCGCCGAAAACAACTTTGGCCCAAAAAAATGTGTTACTTTGCCCGAAAATACCAGAGATACGCGTCCAATGGATTCACCCCTGCTGATTATGACTATCAAAAAAGAAGAAATGTAAAGAAAATTTTCCACCCTAAGATTTTGCAACACTTTGAGTAGGTTCGCTCATGATCTTGAAACTTCTGTTCCCAACATCTTGGCTCAGACCTTGAGTGGAGTAAGCCAAGATGTTTCAAGATCTTGAGTGAAAAATTCAAGAATCCAAGATCTTGAAAAATTTCGCAATCCAAGATCTTGGGTACAAGAAGCTGCTCCACTAGGGCACACTTTGAAAAGGAAGTAAAATGAACCTTTCTTTCGTATAAAAAATACGAAAGAAAAAGTAGTTCGTAGGTTGTTATCGTGATATTCACAAGTGAGGAGATCTAAAGACTCAGTAGTTTCGAGCTTTCCTAGATTTGGAGTTGGAGTTTAAAAATTCCCTCGTTAGCTGCTAAAGCGAATAGCTGCTAGATAAAAGCAGTTAGGATACCTACGGGACAGGGCAGATTTAACATGTCTTCTTGCGTTTAGCCGTTTCTGCGAGAATCGATTCCCAAGTGCCCTCTGCAGTCTGTGAAAAATGAAGTTTTGCGAGCACGCTCGGGATCCGCCGACATTTAAAATTATCGCTCAAAACAAGAGAAAAATATACCTGAGTTGACCCACTTCGAATTATATCGGACTGAAAATGGATGCATGCATAGGTTCGTCTCTACGGTAAAATTTTCCAGTGGGATGTTTTATTCGCCATCAGTCTAGTTGAAGTACATATCTGAGTCCTTAATGTTTAATTTCTACATTAGTATGAAACTAACTAAATTCAGTAAGTATTTGCGCACTATTGCTTCTTCGACTGTAGCTGACTGTTTTTAATTGGTATAATGAAAGTGTTTCAGTACTATAATTTTTTGGGGTTGGCTACGATATTTGAATTTACTGTACTAATGATTCAAAATTAGTTGTGCCACCAACAGAACCGGTAAAAGAAACTAGAAAACTATTCCATTTTCACTGATAGTTTAATGTTTCTGCACGCAAGAAGCGCTTGGGTATACTGTAAAAGATTAATTCGTGTTGCTGTAGGTGTCTCTCTCTAAAAATACTTATGTAAATCTAGAATCCATCTTTTACTGTATTCAATACGTGATACATCTACATTGCATGAAAATTCAAAACAAGAATTTAAAATCGTGTAGCGTGCACAGCGTAGATTGGTCAAAATCATATTGAGGATTCATTACCTACTACGCGTAGTGATAGAAAGTATAATAATATAAAGGATTTTATATTCGATTTTAATTTTCTTTCAGATATAAGTAACCATCTAATTTATGCGTAAGGTGGCGAATCCATACCACTATCATTGGTATTGGTGAGTGCGCTACTACTAAGTAGAATTTTCCATTGATTGATTCATCGTGTCTTGGTTGATTCGAAAGCGTAACTCACGTTTTTTTACGCTTCTATCTACTGATTCAACTAATATTGTAAATACTTAAGAGAGGTTACGCGGTGCCAGCGAGAGTCCAAACATGAAAAAAATTAACATATACTTTTATAATCGCATTCGATTACACACACAAAACTGTGATTATGAAATTTTTTTCTCGGTTATGAGGCTTATGGTTTTTCAGTTAAAAAAGTTAAGTAGTCGAAAAAAAGCAACATCGTCAGTTTTTGTGCATACTCTTTGGTTCATATTTCATTCGAAAGAACTTTGAAAACTAAACAAAATGACTGGTGTTATTTTTCTAAACTTTGATGACTGACGTCAAAAATTATAAACGACTGAAAAATTTCAAATATTAACATATAAAATTTTTCGATAAAACCAAAACTTTTGTCCGATTTTCAATTTGACACAAGATTTATCAATCACATTTTAAAGCGCGAACAATTCTGCCTGTTTTAGAAGTTACAGTTGACAGGAATAGAAGCGAAATTTGGGATACAGTCGCAGGACCAAAGCGAAAAGTTCATCGAATATTGGACATTTTTTCGCCCCATCGGTTATTTTTGAAACAAGATAACTTATGGCGTTGTAATTAGCGAAGAAAATGGCATCGCATTAGGTATTTTCAAAAATTTCCCGAAATGATTTCTGGGCTAAATTTCGCTAAAATACAGTTTTTTCCCATTTTCACGGTAGAATACAAACTTTTAGCGAGCTTCCTCGACGATTTTGAGGTATTTTGTTTTCGTAAAGTTTACCTTTGCTGTGATCTTGCAAAGTCTTCTTTAGACGTTTTGTTTTTTCACACAAAGAAAGCTTTTTCAGAGTTTTCGTCCGCAATGACGTTAAACTAGGAAAAGGAGTATTAGGTTGTGGTACAGATTATGAATGGTAGAGTTTTGGACTGTGGGTCATTCGGATACAACTAGAGCGTATTTCTTTGACTTGCAATAAAGAGGAAAGTTACCAGTCATTAGGAAACTACCAAAATCTATTTCTCTAAGAGGTGTTATCCACAGAATCCGAGACACACCTTTTCTATTCCACCAGTCTGTTGGTGAGTGCAGAAGAGCGGTGAATAGTTTGAGCAAAAACTTCTTTTTTTCTAGAGCTTCGACTACGCTTTTGTACTGCCCTTTGCATGTTCAAAAGGTGAACATCAGTTTTATAAGTCTTTCTTATGTTCTTCTAAAACAGAAGGATACTTTTGAAATATGATTTTGACCCTTTAAAATAAGCCAAAAATTCGAAATTTTCAAAAACGTATTTTGATATGAAATATGCTTGCACACATTTAATTTCGTTCAAAGTAGTGCATCTTGTGGAGAATTAAGTTGTTGATCAGTGGGTATCGTCCCGATTCGTCGACAAATCGGACACTTCAGAGAATATACATCAAAGAATTTCAAAGGCGGGAGGGGCGGTGTGAGAGTGTGTGTCGACGAATCGGGACTGAATCGATCAGTGTGATCAGTGGAAACTTTTAATTTTCTTCACTAACAAAAATGCAAAAGCAAACGATGATGTCAGGGCCGAAATGAGAAGTTATTTTATTTGCAGTTACGAATGAAAGAAAACGTGAGAAAGAATGTTACGAGTCAAACATCTTCGGCAGACTGATATATTCTTTGACTGTTCTATAAGTTCAGCCTATCATTGATTAATTAGAAACAAGACACATGATCATCTTTTGAATAGAATTAGAAACTTCCAAATATATTTTTTTCTTCTTCAACATGTAGAAGTCAAAATAGTAGAAGACACCACAATTCCATAAAAATTCTGAAATTCAGCAGAACTAAAACAGTCGTTTCTCACTCTAATGCCGTCACTCTTCCACTCACACGACCTCCGCTCAATTATGCTAGAACGCCACCTGAACTCGACTAGAATTTGCCGGTTTGTAAGAGAATCTTAATATGAACTGATCTAACTCTGTATAAGCACTTTTGCGTCCTTTCTAGTCTAATTCTGCCAGATTCTAATCAAATTCTAATAGAAACAGAATGAAAGGAAAGGAAGAATGATTTTCGTTGAGTCAAAAAAGTAATCTGCTTTTTCTTAAGAACGGAATAAGTACGATGATGTCGAGACTTTTGCCGCATCATTAATGTATGGAAGTTGCTGAGCTCTCTTCGGAGATAGTAGTAACCTCATTTGGTGAGGTGGAGCGACTCTTGGTTGTCGTCCAGTAGTTTCATTCTCACGAATGAGGCCACCCTCGAGAAAGGTCGAAACCAGTAATGGTTTTTCCGTTTGACTCATAGAAAATTATTCGGCTAGAGTCTCTAGTAAACGCGGTTCTAAAACACTGTAAAGGTGCTGTTTTTATTTAGAGTTTGTGATTTCGAATTAAATAGACGACATTTGTTTAGTTGCAGTGTTGATTTCGTGCAGAGGCATAAACGTCGCTTACTAACGGACATTTCGCATCATCTTTTCTGAAAAATTTATTGATAACAGTACCGTCAGCACTCATTCATTATCTGTTAACAAATTATCTCATATTAAATAAAAACATAGGAGGAAGAATGGAGTTGAGGCATTATTCATACAAACGTTGTTTTTAATATCTTTGCTAAATAAATATTCTTATTTAATCACATTTTACAATAAATACCTTCAAAAACAAAATACTTAACACTATAAATAAAAACTTCCAACAAATATTTATTAAAATATCATAACGACGATGATGTCACTGATCGTTCACTCGAAGAAACCAATTATCTTGGTAAAAAATAATAAAAAACTTTTTAAGATCAGAATGATCTTGGTATTTGTAATGTTGATATTACAGTTAATCATCATTATCATCATTCATAGCTACTAGATCACTTGATAGTCCAATGAAATCACTTAATCGTTGTTACTGCTGCTGTTGAGGCATAGCTAAAAAGCGGAAAGAAGGAGTTATGAATACGTCAATGAGCAATGTCGTCTCTCCATACCTCCCTCTTGTTCTTCTGTATACAATTGTCCTAATTTATCATTGATCGTTTCAATACGTTCATTCTCGTTTGACAGCAAGATTGTAAATAATTTTTTATAGTACTCAACTGCTTTCCCAATGTCACCTCGTCCTTCCCAATATTTGCCACGTTCTAATAATTTCTCTGTTTCACATGGTGTACCTTTAAATTGTTGTTCCATTTCATTCGATATTCGAGCTAAATCATCGTTATCAAGTAAATGTAAAACAACACGAGATAGTTCTTCTTCCATTTTAACCTCAGAGATACGAAATGGGGTGTACAAAGCAAATAGGACTTCTTGTTGATCTAGTGGTATTGTGGACGAACTATTAGCATCATCATTCAATTCACTAAGATTAGCAAATACTAAATCAGTATTTTGTTTCAAACCCGTATGAATTTCATACAGGATCGATGATGGTTCAGCAAATATAACAGCAAGATCGCGTGACATACTCGTCGAGAAAAAACTATTCATTGTTATCGATTCATTAACACGATGACGATAATCTTGGGTTGGTAACACACTTCGATAAACAACTAAATTACTGTCATCTGATCCACCTGTCTGTACTTGTTGTAAATGCTGATAGAGGTCACGAATAAAGAACCGTAATGGAAACAGTTGTTCCATATTTTTGGTTTGTAATGCTCGTTGTAAGAATTTTGACAAGAAATTACCGCTGGTAAACCAACAAATGGGACCAATTTCTTTTTCGGATTGAAAATATTTTTCTTGAAAATTTCTGATTTGTGTTAGGGATGCTGAATCCATCGAATAATACTGTTTCATATGATCTATTCCATGTTGAATTTCTGTTTGTGGTTGTTGTAATTCAAGTAATCGGTTAATCAGTAAACGTTTCCAATAGACAATAACATTTTCTTTTTTCAAACTGTTGGGACCACAAATGACCCGGGATAAAGAGCTCAAAGACGTAGTTGAACCAGATAATGAGTGACCACTGATATTTGTTGTTAATAAATCTTCTTGTAAGCGATCAGAAAGAGCGCTAAAATCATTGAAATATTGTGCTGATTCATCATAATTTTCGGCATTATTACCATCGTCACTGGTAAGGACATAGATAATCAGTTGAATTGATCGGTTTAACAGTCGAAGTAGACGTTCCAGTTCTTGAATTCGTTCTCTGGCAGAGGCGCCGGTACCATCAGAAACAATTAAAAATAATTTTGTATATTGTTCATTTTCAGTAATGTAACGCACACAATCAATTGAATTAGTAAATGTTTCGGCCGATGGTTTGGTAAATTCATCTAAATCATTGAAGTTATTTATTGGGGCAGGAAGCCATAGAAGGATAAGTTCTCGATAGCCGTTATTTGAGGTTCGTAAAAAGCAATGCAAGTCCGATTGTTAATCAGTTGTATATTAGACGCTCCAAATATACTTTAATAATGGAACTACTTGTATTACTATTATACTCTCTGACATGTGGACTTGCCTTGCTTTTTATTATAAGTGACAAACTCATCTAAAATTTTTCTCCCGAACTTGAGGGGCTTTTTAAGAAGCTACCGGAGTTGATCGAGGAAATTCATTCAGAAATAAATCATCCGGATTCCAACATGTCCGGCAAATGATTCATTCGGACATGTTGGATTCTGGATGAATAGTTTTCGGATGAGTTAAAAAAAGAATTTTAATAATCTGGATTTCATGACACTTCCTCATGTCATAAATAAGACCGAGTATGATTTCCGTATTGATAAAAACAAATAGAGCGAAGAACACCACATAATAATTGTATCGATGTTGTTTTACAAGTTAAGCATACACATTTGTCTCACTTATGTCCCTTGGTTTTTTACCGAATGGAGAGTCTTTCTAAAACAGTCTGATAATTGAATTCAAACTGCTAAATATATGTACAGACATATATATCTGATTACTGTGATATGCGCCCGGTTCTTTTTATTCTTTTTTCTTACTTCAACTAGTAGTAAAACGTAAAATAAATAAAGCACTATTTCACCTTAAAAATTACTTCTGTCCTTATCAAAAAAACAATCATGTACATAAGAACAGATCATCTATTAATTGTTCTATACGTAACTTTTGTTGTACAAGTTAATAAGGAACAAAACTAAATGCTGTGTCATTAATGTCTACTATAAACTATTTTTTACAAGTTTAGCAATTTCTTCTTGCCATTAAATCATATAGGACATTTTAAGCGCTATTCGTTTCACTAAATATTGTGTACTCACACAAACCTTTTCTTTCATAGTTGATAAATAGACAAGCTTTAACTAACAAAATTTTGCATTTATTCTACTTGAAAAAAGGTATCGAAGAATGTATGATCTTTTCTTTCAACGTTATTGTTTTGTGGCAAAACGCGCTAACGTTGGCACAACAGAATAAAAAAAAAAGCACTACCACTGACGAGACATTATGTCAGCTTCGTGTTTGTGAACAAAACATGTTTGGTTTAGAATTACTTGGATGATTGTCATGCCGATCAAGCATGTGAACACGTGGTAAAAAATTTTTGGCGTCGTATTCATTAGATGACCATAAAAGGAAAGCGTGCATGAAAGCATCAGTAGTGTGTCCACTAACAAAGTATGGATGCAGCTATAAAGTAAGGTTAAATGATGAATATTATTTATTTATTTATACTGGTGAGAGTCTCGTATCTGACTTTTAAGATTATCCGATGTGATTTGATAATCACATGAAAACTGAGCAACATCATGAAAGTTTATTGATAATTCTTGAGAACTTAAGCGAATTAATAAGTGCGGTAAATATTAGGGCAAAATCTCTCACAACAATGAGGAAAACTGTTAAGGACCCCCCTCAGAAATTATCTGAGATGCCGTACATCCGATCTTGACGAAACTTTCAATAAATGTTCAGCTTAATGAGTTACGGGAATGAAAAACGTTTTTTGTCTCCAAGTCTTACCGTTCAGGAGTTTTCTAGAAATCAAGATCCAAAAGGACCATGAAGCACTTCCCAAGATTTTTTAATATACTTCAAGCTAGAGAGTCCGGGTTTGTTTTGTTTTAAGCTAAACACCTAACTACATGGTCTGACCAGCGCCGACTTTTCAATTAAGCCTTTGTTGCTTTTCCAGGCAACCAACAACCTCTAAAACTCGACAACGCCTTCTGAATTTTCTAAGAATCCTCAATTTGACAAAAAACTGAGACCTAATTCAAAAATCGGCGCCAGTCAGACCATGTAGTTTCTTTTCTTCTTTTAAACCAAAAAAGAATGAAGTCTCTACGGTAAACCGCTACTAATAGTCTTTGGAAATACTTCAGGTGTAACTCTTATATAGAAAAAACGCTGTATTAAAGGCTTTATGAAATACTCAACTTTAGAACTTCTAGGAAAATTCCTGTAACTTTTTTATGCAAGGTCATACAGAGTTATGAGAGGTCTTATTTTGATCAAAAAAGTTTGCTTCACAAATCTTGGAAAAATTTTAATTGCATAAGTATCCAGGAAAAACTATTATTTGAAGACCGGATTTTTTCGAGCCTCCTAGTAAACTTGCTCAAAATCCACGAAAAACCACTTTTGTAACCAAAAGCCATACAGATTCTGAAATTAGACACTTCAGGCTATCTTTTTATGTGTGTATCTCAAAACCGATTTTTGACCGAAAATCACCATTTTTGAGGGAGATAGGGGCCCTTAAGTACAGAATCATTATACTCAAAGAATTTGAACGCAGGAATACATAAGGAGTTGAATGAATTGAAAAAACGTGTGACAGAAAAAGACACTCACGCTGCAACTACAAGTGCTAATCAAGAAAGTTATCGATAAGATGTATCATATATAGTACAGAAAGTGGAAGAAATACATTGTGTTTTAGTTGATGGAAGTTTTATGTGAAGATAGACTAAAACGCCTTTGATAAAATGGGTGATACTAAAAGGGAAAGACAAGCATTTATTTATTCTTCCCCATTCTACTCATCATCGGCAGGCTACAAAATGAGAGCTCGTCTCTATTTGAAGGGGGTTCGAAACGGTAAAAGAACTCACATGTCTCTTCTTTGTGCTTATAAGGAATGCTTATGATTCGATTTGAAATAGCCATTTAACCACAAAGTTACATTTTGTTTATTTAAACAGTTCAGTCAAAATCGTCATGTAACAGATTCGTTTTCTCCTGATACAAAATTCAAAAGTTGTCAACGTCCTTGTAGCGAAATGAATACTACTAACGGTATACCAAAATTATTCCCCTTACCTAAGATTCAGCAAGCCCATAATGATTACATCTGCGATTATACAATGTTCATTAAAGTGAGTGTAAATTTTGACGATTTACTAAAAATGGTGTTACGGCACTGCGCTGAGCCGCACGCAAACCAAGTTTACCATTTCACGTATAGCAGTCTTGGAGTAAAGATGAGATAAAAAAACGTCAGGATGCAGAGAATACAGGGCTTCATATGCTACTCACACAATATCAACTGGTACATGCGGATAAAAGTTATGAATATTAAAGCATTACGCGAGATTTAGTCGCTTTAATATGTTTATTACTTTTATTATTGAAATCTATTTTTGAACTTTCTGTATTATGTAAACAATTATATGTTCATCATATTCAAAATCAGCTAGTGGTACAAAATAATAAAGTTACCAGGAATACACAAAAATATTAATTTCTTATAGTTGGTTTCATTTCTCAAAATATTTTTCTCACATTTGTAGTAATAATTCCGATTGAAAGAACAATCATTATTATCCATCTTTTCTTTCTCTCGATTCTTTGAAAATAATGGTTAAGCGATAGATCTTCTTTTCTGTTCCTACTTACCTTGTACAACTTTACTGTTTACTTTTCTATTCGTCGTACAATATTTTGTCGTATTTCAAAAAGAGCGCATAGACGCATATTATTTTTATTTTGGGGTTTTGTGTAACCGATAGTTCTAACCATAGTATTCGATTTGTTTTTGTACAAATAACGGTTTATTTTTCTATTCTCATACATAAATTTGAACACAAAGAAGAAAAAAAGTATTGATATACTAATACACACGTCAACGGACTTATGACTGACTATTCTGACTTAACGTACGATATTCAACGCTTATGTTCTACGTAATTGTCACACAAACAACGTGTTTTTTGAGCGCGTAATATTATTCGAAGCACTTTATACTGTCTAATTTTCATTCATATGCATCAATGTTACCTATGCAAATAGCTACCACCATAAAATTCTTCTATCATTCTGGCCCCAAAACGCTTCTCCACGTTAGGAACAACAACAATGCACAGAACTAACAACACCATGACCTCGTTCAACTTTCACATTAAGAATAGTAAGAAAAAGTCATAGCCAAGAGCATAGCCAAAATGTAATGAGATATAATGCCATAATGTAATTCACTGATAAACGTAATGCTCAACAGGACTGTGCAAGCGTCATGAGGAAGCGAGGTTAATCACGCTCGGTGGGAACACAACCGAAAGTTGAAGTATAGCTAAAAAGTCGGCTCACCTAATGTATACATATAAGCAGAAAGCTAATGCGAACCTTCGATAGTATTGAATTGGAGGAGTGGAAACATATGCCTTTTCTGATCGTTTAAAAGATTTGAATAAACCCACCAAAAAGCGTTGAAATCCTGGTCGATTTTTCAAAGAAACTAAGTTTCGAATTTTCAAATCTAAGAATTTTTTTTACTGATGCATGTAAGCTGTAAAGAAAACGCTCTCTCTATATGTGCATTTACTTTGAAATGTATTTAAGATCAATATCAGTTCCACTGTAAGTATCGGACTATTCTAAATTTTTCCAATTTGTAATCGTATAACAATGTTCGGTTGCATAATATTAAACACATTGATCGCTTTTCCAATCGTCATTATCAGCAGTACTAATGATGGTTAATGATACTGCGCTTTTTTATGAGCCAATTGTTGTTACGTTGGGTCTGTTTGCCTAATCCTAAAAGAAGAAAAAATTGTTAAGGAGGTGTGTATAAATATAAGAGAAAATAATCCATAGAAGAATGGCCTTTCGCTCTGCATTACCCTATATTTGGTTTGGCCCAAAAAAAGAATCCGCATTTGCACGGATTATCATATTTAGCATTTCTTAAAAATACATCAGTTTAATAGCTATTTAAATGCAAAACAATAATTTTAAAAACCCATAAACATTGCTTAGCCATAGCAACAACAGTAGGTTAATTTATCTACTGATGGCTTTGTTTGAATTATTATATGCATATTGTTATCAACATTTCGTGTCCCAACTATAGGTCTAATGTGTGAAGCTTGTGTATATTATTGAAAAATTATTGGATCTTTGAAGAGATGAGAAAACTTTGAAGTCTATGCGGCAGCCGATCCAACCGGTTTTTAACCGTGATTTTCTACCGAAACACAGCCTAAGATGCCTAGTGGTGCCGTATAATATTTTCTCCAGATTTTATGAAATCGCTGCGTAAAGTTTTTTATTCGATGCGTATCCATAAAATGAAAAAATATGCTATTTTTGTATATATTCGTAAAATATGGCTCGTAGGTGGGTTTATGGTATAGTTGTGTTTCTAAAGGCTACGAAATAATTTTAATTGTTACGTCTAAGAAATCGATCTTAATGCCTTTAGTTTTAAGATACTGTGCTAAAACAGAAGTTTTCTCGCCCTAAAACGCATGATTTCGGAGTGAAAGATGCATGATTCAAAAAACTGATCTGTGTGTGAGATAGTTAGCTGTCTGCCCTGAAGACTACGGGAAGCAGCCATCAGAATACACGTTGTCTCCATTCCACCACGTAGCGGCTTCTCACATTAGAAGATCACTTTCTTTATTTAAAACTAGAAACCTTTCTACAAAATATGTACAGTGAACAAAACCGTGGCGAACACTACTGTCAACAACAATTAAACAAAAACCAAAATCAAGTTTTGTGTGAGTGATAACATGACAACGACAAAGCCCTTAGCTTTTAGTGAGAAATTTTTTGCAAACTATATAGCCTGATAGAACGAAGAATTCTGAGCAAGATAACACAGCTCATGGCACTCTATGATGTTTTTTCACGCAGCTACAGCCGATTTACCACCAGCCATAAAGGGCGTGAAAGTTACCAAAATGTTCAGGTAAAAAGTTTTCATCCCCAAGACACTATAAACTAAGGGAACGTTTCAAAATATATTCCGGTCGGTCGCTATTCCTCTATTCCTCGACTATTCCTCTGTCATTCCTCTATTACGCTGTTCCTCTATTCCCCAATTATTTCTCTATTGTAGAACACTTCATTGTATACTAGTTTTACTATATAGAGTTTGTGTACATCGAGCTTGATTTTGTTTTCTAATTGTTTCTAGTTCTTCAAAAACAATCAACCGCCATGTCTCCAAAGATCATTCATTTAACAAGCTATCAATAATATATTTAAAGCAAAAAGAGAACATCTCTTTTATAGTTGGTTCTAGTGTCATACTATTCAGGTCCTTTTAGGATACAATATTTTTCTTA